ATTGCATGGTCATGAGATCGAGCCCTGCATTGGGCTCCATGCTCAGTGCAGAGTCTGCTTGGGATTCTCTCTCCCTCTCCCTCTGCTTTTCCCACTTGTGTGCTCTCTCTCTCTCTCTCTAAATAAATCAATCCTTTTTTAAAAAAACATAAACAATATGTGGGCCATAGGATGACTTTCAACAAATTTAAAGGGACTAAGATAATACTGAATATATTCTCTGATGTCAACAAAATTAAATTATAAATCAGTAACAAAGAATACTTGGGACAGTTCCAAAATTATTAATAAACTAAACAACCCATTTCTAAGTAACCTATGGGTCAAAGAAATCTCAAGGGAAATTAGACAACATTTTTGTTAAGTGGTAATGAAAATATAATATACAAAAATTTCTGAGATGCTTTAATGTTTAAAAATCAATCAATTGAATTAAGTTCGTCCTTAAAAAGTTAAAGATGAGAAAATTAAACCCAAAAGAAGTAGAAATCAATGATATAGAAAATGGCCAAACAATACAGAAAAACAACAAAATCATAAGTTGGTTCTTTGAAAAGATCAACAAAATTAATAAACCTGTAGCTAGGTTGATATAAAAAGAGAGAGAGAGAGAGAAGGAAGGAAGGAAGGAAGGAAGGAAGGCAGGCAAAGAAAGAAAAAGAAAACACAAATTACCAATATCAGCAATGAAATGGGGAGATCACTACATATCTCATAGACATTAAAAAATAAGGAAATACTGTTTTTCAAAACTTTCATCAGTAAATTGGACAACCCAGATAAAATGGATTAATTCCTTGAGAGAACAAATTACCTATATGTATTAAAAAATTAATTCGTAATTTAAAATGTTCGCAGAAAGAAAGCTCCATGCCCAAATACCTTCAATAGTGTATTCTATCAAGCATTTAAGAAAGAAATACCAATCTTATACAAAATTTTCAAAACAGTAAAGAAATATTTGCTAACTCATTTAATAAGGATTGCCTGATACAAAGACCAAAGACATCACACACCATTTTCTCTCATGAACAACGACTCAAAAATTCCTAAGTATCAGCAAATATAGTTTAGCAGTATTTAAAAAGGATAATATAACCATATAAGATTTATAACAGGAATGCAAAGTTAGCTTAATCTTTAAAATATGAATTGGTGGTTCATCGTATTATCAAAATAAAGAGAAAAATCATACCATCTTAACAGATGCTGAAAAGCATTTGACAAGATTGAGCACCCAGTCATGATGAAAAGCTTCTGCAAACTATAGAAGACACCTTCCTCAACCTGATAAAGGCCATCTATGAACAACCTATAGCTAACACCACATATAACATGATAAGATGTATGCTTTCCCCCTAACATTGAGAACAAGGCAAAGATGTCCACTCTAATTACTTCTAATTCAATGTTGTATTGGAGATCCTAGCCCAGTGCAGTTTAATAAGAAAAAATAAAATAAATAAAAGGCATGTAAGATTAGAAAGGAAGAAACAAAATATACTAATTCACAAGTGAATTAATTGTATACATAGAAAATCCTAACAAATCTACAAAAAGGAACTTGTAGAACCAATAAGGGAATCGAGCAAGGTCATATAAGTTCAAAGTAAAAAGTCAGTTGGATGCCTATATACTAGCAACAAACAATAGGAAAATGAAATTCAAAAAATATCATTTACAATAGCATAAAAAACAAAACTTCTTAGGGAAGTCTTGTACTCTGAAAGCTATAAAACATTACTGAGATAAATTAAGGAAGATATAAATAAATGGAGATAAAAGTTATGGATTAGATGAGTCGACACTGTTAAGATGTCCACTGTCTCCAAACTGATCTGTAGATTCAAAGCAATCCCAATCAAAGTCCCAGTGGGCTTCTTTGTAGAAATGGGCAAACTGGTTAAAAAAACTGATGTGGAAATGCAATAGCCCTATAATAACCAAAACAATTATGATGATAAACAAAGTGGGAAGACTTGCACTACGTGATTTCCAGACTGACTCTGACTTAGAGTAACCAAGATAAAATGCAGTAGTAGCGTAAAAGTAAACATATAGATGAATGCAACAAAACAGACTCCAGAAACAGACCAAACACATCCAGTCAACTGGTTTTCAACAAGGTTGCCAAGCTAATTAATTCAATGAGGGAAACAATCATCCTTACAACAAAAGGCACTGAACAACTGAATATCCCTATGGAACAAAGTAAACTTCAACACTGATCTTATGCCATACACAGAAATTAAGTTGGAATGAATCATAAACCTAAATGTAGACACTAAAACTAACAAACCCCTAGAAAAAAACAGTACAAAATCTTCACCACCTTTAATTGGGCAAAGATGCTATAGGTATCACACAAAAGCATAAACTATAAAAGAAAAAAATGGTAAGTTCAACTTCACCAAAATTAAAAACTTTTGTTCCTCAAACGGCAGAGTTAAAACATGAAAAGTTAAGAGGGAGAAAATATTCACAATACACATACAAAAGACTTGTACACAGAATATATAAGGAAGCTACAACTTAAAAATAAAATGCCCAGAGAAATGAGCAAAAGTTTGACTGTACACATAACAAAAGAAGATATTTGAATGGTCAAATGGCATATGAAAAGATGCTCAACATCTGGTCATAGGGGAGATGTGAATTAAAACCATAGAGAGATACAACTACGTATCTCCCAGAATGTCTAAAATTCAAAAAACTAACAATACCAAGGCTTGGTGATGATGTGGAGCAAAGAGAACTCTCACACACTGCTGGTGAGGGTGTACAACCACGCTGGAAAACAAGTTCGGCAAGTTCTTACAAGTTAAACATACATATACCATGTGATCCAAAAATTCCACTCGTAGGTATTACCCAAGGGAAATGAAAACATATAACTACGTAATGATTTGCATATGATCAGTCATGGCAGTTTTATTTATAAAATCCCCAAACTGGGGATGGCCCAAATGCCCATCAATTGGGAAATGGATAAGCAAATTCATACAATGGAATATTACTCACCAATAAAAATACAAATGGCTAATACATACAACAAATATGGATGAATCTCAAAAATATAATTCTGAAAGAAAAACAAAGACTAACAGGCAAAACGAATCTCTAATGAGAATACAGACCAGCGGTTGCCTGGGCTGGGGGAGTTGAGGGAATGGCCTGCAAGGAGGACAGAGGAACTTGGGGGTTGATGGAAAAGTTCTCACATACCTGATTTTGAAGGCACAGTCGGTAGGTATCTCATTTAAATTCACAGGATAGTTAGATATAGAGTTGTGGAAATGGGACAGAAAGATATTCCACGAAGGGACAAGGACATGAGCAGAGCCACAGAAGTGAGAAATTGAGGGGTGAGTATGGGGAGCGGCTGAGAGTTTATTTTTTAAAATTAACTTTATTGAAGCATAATTTGCATGAATAAAATGCATCCATTTTAGGTTAATAATTGGATGAATTTTAAGAAATGTACAAACTCATGTGACCACCATCCCATAGAGAGCTTCCTTTTTTTTTTAAAAAGATTTTATTTATTTACTGAGAGAGAGAGAGAGAATGGTAGACAGCATGAGAGAGAGGAAGGTCAGAGGGAGAAGCAGACCCCCTGCTGAGCAGGGAGCCCGATGCGGGACTCGATCCCGGGACTCCAGGATCATGACCTGAGCTGAAGGCAGCCACTCAACCAACTGAGCCACCCAGGCGCCCCAGACAGCTTCCTTTTAAAAAATTACCACTTCAAGCTTTTTTGTGCTTACTAAATCATTTTATTACAAGTTTTATCATTTAATATTAAAACCAAAACAACATGCAGGCAATAAGACAGCTTATAAAAAGCATAGGCCTTGGGGTGACAGGGTGGCGCAGTGGGTTAAGCGTCTGCCTTCAGCTCAGGTCATGATCTCAGGGTCCTGGGATCCAGCCTCGTACCAGGTTCCCTGCTCAGCAGGGAGTCTCTTTCTCCCTTTGCCCCTCCCCCTGTTCGTATTTTCTCTCTGTCTCTCTCTCTGTCTCTCTCTCTCTCTGTCTCTGTCTCTGTCTCTCTCTCTCAAACAAATAAATAAAATCTTTAAAAAAAATCCATAGGTCTTGAAATCAGCTCTAGGTTTAAATTCCACTTCTCCAGCAAGTCACCTTGCTTATCAAAGTCTGTTTCCTCATCCACAAAATGGGATTAATAGTAAAATCAACTTGACAAGATTGCTGTGAGGATTGAAAGAAACAACGTTAAGCTTCTGGCACAATGCCTGAAACACAGTAGGACCAATAAATGGTATTAATCCTATCACATCACAATAAGATGGGCATTTGTTATACAGTTACCCTCAGAGGTATGTATGGACCATGGAACCCACTGGCAAAGGCTTTGAAGGGGTCCCAAATGAAAAATGGCAATCCTCAATTCAGTTTCCCTACTGGTACTATTTCACAGTCAGTGGTGAAGGCTCCAAAGTATTTCATGCTCAAACATTTTGCTTTGATATGGAATGGGCGATTTGAAAATTGATTCTGGAACAGATTTAAAGCAGAACACTTAAAAGGTCCCCCCACCCCACCTCCACAGTGTGTCAGACCTCCTCCCTAGCCTTAAAACGGAGCCCGACCTCCCACATTTCATACCACAGGATGCTGGGGAGACCACACCCTAGATTCACCCAAACAGTCCCAATCTGCTGAAGGGCCCAATCACCTGCTCCAGCCCTATCTCCCTCGCTTTCCAAACATCAGTTCCATGACCCCGCTCCCAATATCAGCCTCAGGCCAGACGCACTTTTTCGTTTACCTACCTGTCACCCTGCCTATTCAACTGCAGGCTCCTTGATCACTGCCAACACTCACCATGTACTGCTGAGACACTCCCTTGGCTAGCCGCAGCTTCCTGGGGAGCCCCCCACCCCAGCTCCCAGCACACAGGACCCAGGACCCAGCTCCCAGGACACAGTCACAACCATAACATAATTCAAGGGTCACGGGGATGGAGTGCCATCTACCTGAGCAACAAAGAGCTGGAACTCGTCAGGCAGAATCCATGAGCGAGGATAGAAGTTGTACTCCTCAGGAAAGAGATTCTGCATGATTCTCACGGCTCTGCTCAGAGTAATTTTACGCACCATCTCCGTCATGCCTGGGGAGAAGAGAAGCTGTGAGGTTTGAACAGCAGTGGGCCGCTAGCTATAAAACAGCCATCATCAGGGGACTTTTAAAACCACCCACCCGACATATTCGCTTTTGCAGACAGGATAAAAAAAAAGTAGCTGTTCCCCACAGCAGTGACTCATGGTTTGGAAAGGCCTACCAAATTAATGAAAAACTTCAGGTAATAGATGGATAGTTTTTTCCCCCTTATGAAAATGAAGCATCAACTGGAAGGAATGGGTTTCCACTAGTTCATTAATCCACTCTTTGTCAGTCTCCTCGATAGTGGATAAAGAGAAGCATTTACATCTTGTACTTAAAACTTAATATCCTCCTTAATTTGGGGCCACCATCCATAATTCTAGGACTGCTTCCATCTTATACCCTTGAGAATATCATCTAGTGGACTCTGCTTACATTACGAGAAGCTTAATTAAGTTGCTTTGCTTTAATCTTCCATGAGTATTCAAGGTATAAAATAGAAAAATATACAGCTTTCAGCATAAAATCTGTCTCCTTGAAATAAGGACAGAAAGTAGGAAGGATAACATAGCATAATTTATAGTTTAGGGGGAGAAAATGCAATCTGTAGGAGTTCTTCAGTTATAAGTACTGACACTAACATTGATCAGACCTCATTAATTTGCCCAGAGGGGATTAAAATGACTCACTTATAAAACATTTTAAAAGAATGGTGGCTTTTTTTTTTTCTTGTAGCATCTTTAGGAACTCTGACAAGAGAAGAAACTGAGTCTATACCTTAGCAAATTTTCAGCAAATAGGTAAAAATTCTTTTAAGTTTTAGCATGCTTATCTCTTAAGGCAAATATCACCACTGAAAATGGAGACTAGAAATGGCCTTCACCCTGAGACAGGCAACACAGTTCCATCCCTGACACTAGGAACTGGCTTAGCGAAGTTATTTTTTACAGAAAGCACAAAGTTTCATGTCAGCTTGGCATGTCCGAATTATCACACATTCCAAATGGAAACAATCAGAACGAATGAAATTTCTCGAAATTCCCATGTTCAGGAAGTGAAGGGTGAACATTTTGAGAATTAAGGTTTTAATAACCTATTTCTTGCTTCCCTCAGCATATTAAAAAGCGCAACAAATCCAAAGATTGCAGATTCAAGATGTCAATGCCCAGCTTCTTGGTTCTTGTTTAGGATAGAGAGAAGGATTAAATAGAAATAAAGGAGCTTGAAAAGCACTAATAAACTGTGCTCTGATGTGAACTCTTCAATATTAAAGAAAACTCACTGAGAACATTGTTCTGAGCTTCCTAAGAAATAAGTACGAGCCCAGAAAATTCTAGCTGTTTCCTTTTAGTCCCCTCCAAAATTAGAATTTTTGAGTTATAAACACCGGAGCCGAACACCAAATACACAAAACAAAAACTTCAACTGTTTTCGAGGGTTCTTCCTTTTCTTTGACAACAGTTTGTTATCATACTAGACTAAAACCCTTCATAACTAACTATAATACAGCACCTTACATCAAATAGATGAAGCCTCCTGACCGTTGTGGTACTTTCTACACTTTTAATGGCCTTGTGACAGGGGAAGTTTCTCTGTCAGAAACCCCTCAGCAGGTCGGGCAGACTCACACAACACAGACCGAAGTGCTATGAGTACAGAAGTGTGGTTTGAATGCTCCAGAAAAGTCTTGTGAAAATCAATGTCCAGGGGCGCCTGGGGGGCTCAGTCGGTTAAGTGTCTGACTCTTGATTTTGGCTCAGGTCATGATCTCAGGGTCATGAGATGCAGCCCTGCGTCAGGCTCCACACTGGGCATGGAGCCCACTTGAGATTTTCTCTCTCCCTCTCCCTCTGCCCCTCCCCTGCACTCTCTCCCTCTCTAAAAAAAAGAAAAGAAAAAAATCAATTTCCAGCAAATTGAGTACATATTCATTTGAAACCTGTGATGGCTCCTACTGTAATGTGGATCCTAAGTCCCCCACCAGCTGACAGATCTGCTCCCAAGTCTGCTTTTGTGCCAGTCTCCAGGTAGTTCTCTACTGAAAACAGCCAACTTTGGAAGCACCCTACAATCCAACGGCTACTTTCCCCAGACAGTTCTGACCCACAGTCTCTGGACGACTTGCCCCTCCTCTACCTAAATACCTGTCTCCAGGAGGCACCCAGTGTCGACCTCCCTCAATCCACTCACCACCAAAACCTTTGTTCCTCCACCATATCTCCGACCCCTCCCTCCACCCCATGTGGAAGCTGCTGGCGTCTGGGCTTCTGGTGGTGGCTCAGAGACAGATGTGGGGAGGGTCATCGGCTCTCACGGGAATAGCTGGGTTTCTCGCTGAGCCGGAACATATGTTCCCGAGCAAATAGGGCAAAAGAGAGGTCACTGCCAGGCTCTGCTGGCTCTAGACTCTACCTCCCTTCTCCAAGGAACTGCAGCACCTGACCCTCCCTGGGACGCTTGCCCTAGGCTCTGGGACACACTCTGACCTGAGCTGGAAGCTCTAGGTCCAGCCATCAGCTCCCCGCCCACCGAGATTGAGAATAAGGCAATCTTTGACCCTGACTTTGTACTCCAATTAGATAAGGAGGATTTCAACGTCTTTCTGAGGCTTTCTGATTGCTTTGTCCCCAGGTTTTGGTAACCTGTCTTTTGCTCCTGGTGCCTGAGTAGCTGCCTTAGCAATGCCTTTGCTTTGTTCCTACCAGTGTTCCTCCTCTGTTCCACCCAAGAATACCCAGCAAGGGCTGGGTCCTCCTGCTTGGGACCTGAGCCCTGTGCCTGCCCTCCCACTGCCTACTTAAGAGGTTCTTTTGAGGCTCACTGCCTACCTGGGGTTCCCAGCAGGTCTTTCTCCAGATGTCCCTATGGTGGCAGGTCCCCTCTCAACTGGGAAAACACTCTAACTCAGGTTGGAGCTTCCCACACCAAGAACTGGCCTCCTGTCACTCCTGGGCCTGGTTCTTCTCTCTGCTACACTGGAGTCTTGAGGCCTGGTAGGTCTCAACCCCTGTGAAGCTACACAAGAGGGTAACAGTCTGATCCTTAGGCTTGCCCACACAGACCTATTTAACCCAATTTAAAACAAAAACAAAACAAAATCTGAGCTATTTCGGGAGTACTGTTCAATCCAAATATCATTGACAACAATAGTTCTTGGCAAAACACATTCCAACCACCCAACGACAAATAACTTCTTCCAGATGCACCCTCTTCTCTCTGTTCGCAGTGCCGCTGATGAGTTCATCTTTTGCCTGGCTCCTCTTAGCTCTACCTCTGTCTCCTGACTCCGCCCTTCCACCCACCTCCAATGCATCCCTCTGGGGGGCCTTCTGAAAATGCAAGCTGGCCCATGTCGCTCTCTGGCCTAACAATTTCTCAGTGGCTCCCATGACCTTCAGACTATAAGGATGCTTTCCTTCAGTCCCTGCTTATCACCCATCCACAGCCCCTCTCACACCTGACCCTTTCTTTTTTTTTTTTTTTTTTTAAATTTTATCTATTTGACAGAGACACAGCGAGTGAGAGAACACAAGCAGGAGGAGTGAGACACGAAGAAGCAGGCTTCCCTCCGAGCAGGGAGCCCGATGCTGGGCTCGATCCCAAGACCCTGGGATCATGACCTGAGCAGAAGGCAGACGCTTAATGACTGAGCCACCCAGGCGCCCCACACCTGACCCTTTCTGACCATCATAGGCCACTTGCCCTTTGCTGAATGAGCAACCTGCTCTAAACATTCTAGGTCTCTGCACCAACTCTATTCCTGCATTTTGCAGGGAGGTCAGGCCCGTCCCGCCCTGGAGCCGCAGTTCGCATGTTCTCCTGGGTCTCTCGCCCTGTCTGCCCCCCATGCAGATCTAGGTTAGGTCATGTGCCCTCGTTCCAAACCACCCGGGCACCCCAGATTTCCTCTGTCTGGCACTTATTTTGTATTTGACTTCTCTCCCTGCACGCCTTTCTCCTTGTCTCTCTATCTTCTCCGACACAGCCGAGTGCTCGACCGCAAGCAGCCCAGGACCTTCCTGGCTGGGGCCCTTTCCCTCTCTGCCAGAACATCCCCTCCCCACCCCTGCCATGTGCTGTCATACATCTCAGACCCTGAAAGTCAGCAAAAAACTGTCGCTTGCGAGCTGAGAATTGACAGTTTGGGACTTTCCTAAAGCAAAGACATATCCAAATCAGATTATTTTTATAGAAAGTCTTAATTCATCATGTTAAGACATAATAACACATCTTGGAGGACCTCGTCATAGAAAAGTGGCTAAAATCCAATGTGCTGACACAAACAAAATAAATCGCTTCCATATGCATCTCCAAAAGTTTTCAGTTTATTCAGCATGTGATGCATTTACAGTTGCCTGCCACATCCAGTAGAACTTACTCTGGATCATACACAGTGCGTACAAGATGCACTGCTAGAATAACGGGATACCGGAGAGACAGAAGATAAGCCTGGACCCAAACTAGAGCCAAAGGACAGACCCTTCTGGAATCACGTCATAGTTAAGAACTTCTGTCTTCCATAGGGAGAGGGTATAGCCACACTGTGTCTCTGACTAGAGATTCGAGAGCCTGCTTTGTCATTAGAACTAATTAATTGCTGTTGGTAAAGTGGAAAATTACATGTTCCAGTCACGGGCACATGGAATATGGGATAGAGCGAACTTGTTTCTTTGGAATGAATATTCTCATATCACCCTTAATGAAACTGGTCCTTTGAGGGTATTTTTCTCTAATTTGTGTTCCAAAAGGAGAGCTAGAGCTGTGACTTTTTTTCCTACTCTCAGCCATGAGATGAGGCACAAGCAAACAGGGGGAAACATAAGTGAAGCCTCATTTGAGGATTCATGTCTTAGGAACTCTGTCCTCATTCAAAGAACTGTTCTCTTCCAAATTACCTTCTCCGAGTATCCCTGTAAGTCCTTTGAGTGACATCGAAAAGTCACCTTTTATGAGCAGCAAGATAGAAAAGAATAGTTATCCCACTGAACTGTATGCAAGAACCCAAGCTACCAGAATCCTTCTTGTTCTCCAACAGAGCCGTCCCTCATCTCTAACTGTGGGTTAATTTTCTAGCTCTGTTCCCCCGGAAACCAATAAAGGTAGAAAGTTAGGTGTGTTCCTAGACAACAAAGCATATGGTTGAAATGATCCCTGATTGGCAAATTGCATAAATACCTGGTAGGAAGCCATAGCCCCAGGCTTTCCTGATGTAATGATTCTCCTAACTCAGCACGACCCTGCTGGGGACCCTGGAAGCTATGCTTCAGAGGAGCTACGTGAGATAAGGCTCTTAAGGCATGTCTAAGCCAAGACAGACCCACCTCCACCAATGTAGCTGTTGTCTCCTTACACCTAAGCTGATTTCACTTGAGGGGTTAGACTAGCCTTTGGCACCCTCACAAAGACACCACTGGAGAGAAATGCCCAACATTGACCGGCTGGCAGGCCGTGTTTCCTGCCCTATACCCTTTTAGGTGAATCTGAGCCAGGTGAGGCCCATGGTAGTCTGAATGCTTAACTGAACCTCCGTAGTGGACATGGCATAACTCACCAGTGTATCATGTATGGCTACTGGTTTTTCCGAGACGTGTTTTCTTAAAGACATGGCATAGAATGCCAAAGAGTAAATTTTTTTTTAAGTAAACTCTGTGCACACCATGGGGCTCAAACTCCTGACCCTGAGATCAACAGTCACATGCTCTCCCAGTTGAGCCAACAGGCACCCCAGAAAAAGGGTAAATGCAGTCTCCTTTTAAAAATAAGCATAAATGATATCACGCTAGAAGAAAACACCATGTATTCAGGCAACCACACTCTGACTGCAACCATGTAAAAATGATACAAAAATGTGGTTAAGGTTTGGGAGGAAATCTAGAAATATTCACATTGTTTTGTTAAATGAGGGATGGGATTCAGGGTGATGCTCTTTTTAAACAAATTCTTTACTATCGTATTATAATATGGTTTGTACATATTATGTTAAAATTTCTGAATATAAGAGAAAGACCCTTTGGCTGCGATCGCCACCCCCTCCTGACCAAATGTTCCTTCCTCTCTGAGCACACCCACTCACCTTAACCACCCTCCTCACTGAGCCATTAAAAATAATGAATAGCAATCCATAGCAGAAGAGGGAGGCAGAGATTAAAAATAAAATGGAAAGGCATATGGGGAGGCTGGGAATGGAGTGAGGAGGTGTCTTAAAGTGCTGGCTCTGACACTTTCTTGGCACTGGTCCCCCTTACAGGAAAGCCTCACTGGGATAAGGTCCTGAGGTAAAAGGTAGGCACTGTCTCAGCCTGTCGTTCACCACACAGAGACTGGTATATTTGGTTGTAAAAATGGTACCTCCAATGATGATACTTAAAGAAAGCAGAAGCTGCTAACCCCATTTTTGTGGCATATTCCTAGAATTTCAGTACTTTTGTTTCTTGCAAATAATTTATGTGAAGTGGCCTATTTTTTTTTTTTCATTTTGAGAACATCGTCTCCTCATTACACCTTCATAATATAACTCAGAAAGTGAAGATCATGTTCTTCCACTGGTGAAATTAGTCCAGGAAAGCCTGTCTTTTTATTTTTGAACCTCCAGTCTTTAACCCATTGGTGGGTCAAATCCTGATGACCTTTGCGTTAGCTTCTCTCCCAAGGTCAGGGCGCCTCGGTGGTATGGGCGGCAAGTCCCAATTAAGAGTCCTTGAGTCCGAGCTCGAAACGCTGCCATTTTGCAGAAGAGCCCTGACACTCAGCCTAGAAACATTTTTCGATGCCAACAATAACAGCAGATACCTGGAAACTTGTTCACTTGGCCGGAGAATATGTCATTGTCGTGAAATGAAACTCCATGCCAGTAGATGTCACAAGGCAAGCGTCGGCCAAATGGGAACTAGAAGACAGAGGGGAAAAGACTGTGACTATTAACAAGAACTAGAGGAGCAGCTACCATCCCGGGTGTCTACTACGTACACATTCCCTGCGACTTGGTGCATGTCACGTGATACAATCCTCATAATAAGCACATGAGGTAGATGATATCCTTTCCCATTTTATAGGTGAAGAGACCGTTTCAGGCAGGGTAAGGAACTTGCTCAAGGTCCCAACCAGTGAGGAGTGGAGTTCTGACTCTGGGTGGCAGGCACTAGACTCACGCCTTCACACGTACCCCTTCATTTTAACCCTCCTAACTACCCTAGAAAGAATTATTCCCATTTCACTGGGGAGAAAATTGGGGCTGAAAAAGGTAACACAAAATAATACAGTGCTGGTAAGGAGAGGAATCAGGATTTGAATCCAGGTCTATCTGGATCCCAAGCCATACTTCTCTTTCTCTGAAAATTGCAACTCTCCAGTCAGCCCCCCGAAAAATGAGCTTACGCTGTCTCACTCATGCGCTCTCTCGTTCTCTCTTCCCTGCTCCCCCAAACACACGTGGTCCGTGAAGGGAGGATGCATCCCCCAGGGCCTCCTGGCATCCGATAAAGACTTTTTGGATGACTAAATGAACAAACCGGGAATGGTCATCTGACTCAAGGTGAGATAACCAGATTCTCTCTTCCAGGAATTTGGAAATCTGAGAGGCCAAGCAGCCTCTGCTAGCCCTTGACCTGGAAGTGATAAAAAGCCAGAGCTGGGCAGATGTGCTTAGCTATGAGCACAAAGAAGCAAAGGCAGCCCGGCTGGTGAGAGAGAGGGAAGGAATAGGTGTAGAGAGGAAAGTGAAGGTGACACCAGGGGGCCCTGGTGACAGACTTGAGTGACTTTAGTTCCTAGGGCTTCTAGATCCTAGGTCCAGACCCTCCTGAGCCTTGCTGTCTCTCCTGTCCTTGGATCCTGTAAGACAGCCTTATATTCTTAGACTATATCCCCTCTTTGCACATACTATAGGGTTTCCTTATTAGCAGCCAGAAAAATCCCTCAGTGAGACAAAAAGGCCGGCTCTTTCCACCACATCCTGCTGCCCCTCAAAGTTATCAGCAAGTTCTACATTTACAGAATTCATTTTTTTAAATCTGTAACTCAGAGGACCCTTGTTAAAGGAAAAAAGTGAGGACGTGTCAGTTCATATTTAGAACTTGCTTGTTAGAAGTCCAGATGAAGAGAGATGCTAACACACTGAATGCAATCACTTGACTTTCCCATCCTAAGACTACAGCTAATCAGGATTTTTGTCTGCTCCAAGTTGAGAGAGCTTAAGTTCCAATGGAAGAGCATAGCATTACTAATGAAATGGTGGTGACTCGATACTTTCCAACCATTCCAAATCAAAATGAAGGCAAACAGACTCAAGCCCTTTAAATCATTCATATTATTTCAAAGCTGTGCCAAAGTGAGGCATATGTTACACACTCTATTAGCATGAACAACTTTCATCTATAATTTATAGCATTTCACTTGTTTTCTTTGCATCCAATGGACTGAAGTTATTAATTCAGTAGTCATAAATACAAAGAGATACAACATATGTTATTTTCTTCCAGCTGCTAAGTGCTAACAGAGGGAAGGGGAAAATAACTTAACCAGGGAAGTTTCTCTAAAAAGCAGACTATCCAAGCAAACTTTACTAAGATCCAAGTGGCCATGCTGCCTGCAATGTGGGACCAACACCTGCTCCATGTCAGCAGACAACCAATGACTCCTTATCACCTTTACCGTTACCCTTCAATCCTTGCCAACCTCATGAGTCCCAAATTAACACTTCATTCAGCAGTGTCTTTAGCTCATTCAGTTTTGTGAAACTGTCGTTTTTTTAAGCCACTCATTTAATAATTGCTATGTGCCAGACACTGTGCTAGGTGCTGAGAACACAGAGAAAGACAATTTTAAATAGGTCCCGGGACTTCAAAATCCCACCTCTTTTAAAGATCTTTTTTAAAAACTGCTTAAACAGCTAACATCATACTCAATGGTGAAAGACTGAAAGCTTTTCCTCTAAGATCAGGAATGAAATGAGGATGCCCACTTTTGCCACTTTTATTCAACATAGTATTGTAAGTTCTAACCAGAGCAAAAGGCAAGAAAATGAAATGAAGCATCCAAATTGGAAAGGAAGAAGTAAAATTCTCTGTTTGCAGATGACATGATCTTATATGTAGAAAACCATAAAGATTACACACACAGTTAGAAATAATAAATGAACTCAGAAAAATTATAGGATACAAAATCAATACACAAAAATCAGTTTTTCTATATACTAACCATGAATGATCCAAAAAGGAAATTAAGAAAACAATTACATTTATAATAGCATCAAAAAGAATAAAATACTTAGGAATTTACTTAACCAAGGAGGCAAAAGACTGTACACCAAAAACTACAAAATGTTGCTGAAAGAAATTAAAGAAGACACACATAAGTAGAAAGACATCCCATGTTCACGGATTAGAAGACTTTATATTGTTAAGATGTCAATACTACACAAAGCAATGTACAGATTCAATGAAATCCCTACCAAAATCCAAATGACTTTTTTTCCTTACAGAAATATAAAAATCTATCATAAAATTCATGTGGAATCTCAAGGGACCCCAAATAACCAAAACAATCTTGAGAAGGAAGAATAGTGTTGGAGGTATCACACTTCCTAATGCCAAAACTTACAACAAAGATACAGAAACAGTGCATAAAACAACGAGATACAATGAGATACCACTATACAACTGTTAGAATGGCCCAAATCCAAAATACTAACAACACGAAATGCTGGCAAGGATGTGGAGGAACAGGAACTCTTACTCACTGCTGATGGAAATGCAAAATGGTACACCTATTTTGGAAGACAATTCTTAAAAAAGGAAACATATTCTTACCATATGATCCAGTAATTGTGCTCCTTGGTATTTATCCAAATGAGTTGAAAACTTATGCCCAGAAAAAAAATCCACACATGAATGTTTACAGCAGTTTTATTAATAATTGCCAAAACTTGGAAGCAACCAAGATGTCTTTCAGTAGGTAAATGGATAAACTGTGATGCATCCAGATAATGGAATATTACTCAGTGCTAAAAAGAGATGAGCTATTAAGCCAAGAAAAGACATGGAAAGATCTTAAATGTATATTTCTTTTATTTTTTTTTAAGATTTTATTTATTTTTTCATGAGAGACAGAGAGAGAGAGAGAGAGAGAGAGAGACAGAGGGAGAAGCAGGCTCCCAAGGAGCGGGGAGCCCAATGCAGGACTTGATCCCAGGACCCTGGGATCCTGACCTGAGCCGAAGGCAGACGCTTAACCATCTGAGCCACCCAGGCGCCCCTTAAATGTATATTTCTAAGTGAATGAAGCCCATTTGAAAAGGCTACATACTGTGTGATTCCAACTATATGACATTCTGGAAAAGGCAAAACTACAGAGCCAATAAAAAGATCAGTGGTTACCAGAGATTAGGAGTGAGGGGAGGGATGAATAGGGGAAGCACAGAGGATTTTTAGGGTAGTGATACTACTCTATATAATACCATAACAGTGGATACATATCATTATTCATTTGTCTAAGCCCACAGAATGTACACTACCAAGAGTAAGCTTTAATATAAATCATGGACTTCGGGTGTCAACATATGATGTGTCAATACATGTTCATCAATTGCAACAAATGTACCATTCTGGCATGCGATTTTGATAGCTGGGGAGGCTACGCATATGTAGGGTCAGTGAGCATATGTGAAATCTCTGTTCCTTCTGCTCAATTTTGTAGTGAACCAAAAATAGCTCTAAATAAAAAAATAATAATAAATTAATAAAAACCAGTATGGTCCTGGCATAAATACAAACAGACTAAGCGGATAGGATACAGAACCCAGAATTAAACCCTGATATATATGGTCAAATTATTTTTGACAAGGATGACAAGACTATTTGATGGGAAAAGGACATTCTGTTCAACAACTGCTGCTAGGAAAACTGGATATCCACATGCAGAAAGAATGAAGTTGGACCCTTACCTTACACCATATACAAATATTAATTCAAAATGCGTCAAAGACCTAATCATAAGGGCTAAAACTATAAAGCTCTTAGAAGAAAACATAGGGAATAAGCTTTATGATATTTAATTTGGCAATGATTTCTTGGATATGACACCAAAGCACAGGTAACAAAAGAAAAATAAATAAATTGAACTTCATTGAAATTAAAGCTTTTTTGCATCAAAGGACACTTGTCAACAGAATGAAAGGGAAGCCCATGGAACAGGACAAAATATTTGAAAATCATGTATCTGATAAGGGATTAATATTTAGAATATATTTTAAAGCTTTTACAACTCAAGAACAAGAAAAACAATTTAAAAATGGACAAAGAAAGGACTTGAATAGACATTTCTCTAAAGAAGACATACAGATGGCTAATAAGCACATGAAAAGATGCTCAACATCACTAATCATTAGGAAAATGCAAATCAAAACCACAATGAGATACAACGTCACACTCATTAGGATGGCTAGCATAAAAAATAATAAAAAGGAAATAAGTGTTGATGAGGATGTAGAGAAATTGGAACCCTTAGGCCCTGGGAATGTAAAAAGCTGCTGTGGAAAATAAAATTGTCACATGACCCAGCAATTCTACTTCTGAGTATTTACCCAAAAGAAATGAAATCGGTGACTTGAACAGATACTGATATACAAATGTTCAGCATTATTCACAACAGCCAAAGGTGGAAGCAGTCCAAGTGTCCATCAACTGTCCATCAACAGACAAACAAAATGTGGTATATCCATACACTGTAAAATTACTCAGCCTGGTACAACATAGATGAAACCCTGAAGACATTATGCCAAGCGAAAGAAATCAGACACAGAATATTGTACGGTTCCACTTCTGTGAGGCAACTAGAGTAGTCAAATTCATAGAGACAGGAAGTAGAACAGTGCTTTCCAGGGGCTGGGAG